TCTGAATATTTGAAGCCATATAAATAAAATAATTTTATAAACATTAAAAGAAAATAATTTTTTAAATTATGCACTTTATTATTATTTTTTATTTTATTTTATTTTTTTTTTTTTTTTGCGGTACCAGGGATCGAACTCAGGACCTTGCACTTGCCAGGCAAGCGCTTATTCCACTGAGCTGTCTCCTTGGCCCAAATTATGCACTTTAAAAACATGTTTCATTGCCAGCCAGATAACTCACCAGATTAAAGCACCTGCTAAGCTGATTCAGGGACCAGGGTTCAATCCCCAGTACCACAAACCGTGGTGGCACGTGTTTGTAATCCCAGCTTGTGGGAGGCTGAAAGTGGGAGGATCACTACAAGTCTGATCTGTGTAGTGAGAACATGTAGTAAATACAAAAGACAAAAAAAAGTTTCACTGTAATGTATTCTGTAATAATCTTCACTTAGCTAATCTTTGAACTCAGTAACAACAGAGTTAGGACATATAGTAGTGTTTTAGTAAATAGTTATTTTAATCTTCAGTAGTAATTGCAACTACCTAAATAGTTTCTTATTTTTCTGGTGGAACTGGGGATTGACCTCAGGCCCTTGTGCTTGCCAGGCAAGTGCTTATTGTACTGAGCCATCTCCCCAGCCGCTCTAAATAGTTTCTATGAGGAGGCACTCTATATGTAATTTTTTGTAGCTCATAATTCCGAAGACAACACCGGTGAGATCAGTAAAACTGAAAATCAGAAAGGTTAGATCACAATAAATAAGGATTAAAACCCATGTAGTCTGGCTTTGAAGGGAGCCCTTGTGCAGCCGGCATACTTGGAGAAGGAAGATAGTTGAATCTTTCATGATACCTGTGGGCATTCTTTGTTACTGGACTAAAATTCTTCAAGTCATAATCTCATAAAATTTACAGTGTGAAATCTGAATGTACAATGGTGAACTTTTCATACGTTATTATCTCAAATTAAAAACTTTTTTTTTTTTTTTTTTTTTTTTGGAGGAACTGGGGATTGAACTCAGGATCTTGCACTTGTCAGGGAAGCGCTAATTCCACTGAGCCATCTCCCTGGCCCCTAAAAACTTTTATCTATGGGTGACTGTAACATGAATTGCTTATTTGGAAAATACTAGTTCCTTCAGTTGTGCAAATCTTCCAAATGTTGACACATTTCTTCAAAGAAATGTTAATATCTCTGATTTCATCAGAAAATTCCTAAGTAGGAAATGTATCAAGTGAAATGAAAGCTGTTTTACACAATAACTCAAATTTTATCATTGGGAGCACATACATCAGTTGTCCTGAAGTTGACAGATGAGCTTCAGTTATGAGAACTTGTGTGCCACATACCCAAAGTCTGCTGAGCTCAGCTTTCTACTCACATAACTACAAATGCTGGTCCTTGAGACAACTATCACATTTTAGTGTGAAACTGTCATTTTCTTTTCTTTTTCTTTTTTTTTACAGTTCCTATTTATTTATTTATTGGTGGAACCGGGGATTGAACTCAGGCCCTTGCGCTTGCCAGGGAAGTGCTTATTCCATCTCCCCGGCCCCTGAAACTGTCATTTTCTTTACACAGAATAATCTCTTTTTTAGTGGCTGGTTTGGTTTGCTTGAAATAGGGTCTCTTATGTAGTCACACTTGATCTTAACCAAAAGGCAGAGAAGTGATTCCTATGTAGTCCAGACTGGCTTTGAATGTCATGTGTAATCCTGGCTGGCCTCTAGCTCACGATTCTCTTGCCTTAGCCTCCCAAGTACTAGGATTACAGGAATGAGCTGCCACCCCCAGCTGATAGTAATTACCGCATGAAGGAGATTTAATGATTAGTATTTGTCTCTTCATTGCATAGTAGTGAAGTACAATTTGATGGTTTGCTTTGATTGATACTAAGGCACTAGCAGCTTTAACTATTACTGCTTTTGCATCATAATGAGAATTAATGATAAAATATTGCCAACCTAAAAGAAAAAAAATTCTCAGTGGAGGGGTGCATATAGGTAATTTCTTTACATTACTTATTTCATTAGGTAGAGAATTACAACAGAACCTTCAGTTTATTTGTTTGTATTTATGGTGTTGGAATTTCAACCTAGGGTGTTCACACTAAGGTATATCTCCAGGCATTTTATTTATTTATTTAGTTAGCTATTTAGTTTTGAAACAGGATTGTACAAAAGTGCCCCTGCTGGGCTAGAACTTTGTGAGTTTCTGGCTCACCCTCAGAGAGTACTGGCATTGCAAACATAGGCCACCACACCTGGTTTGGTGAATTTTTATTGACAACTAGAAGCTTTAAAATGTAGAAGTCTTACGTAGCTGTTTTTCTTAGAGAAAGTCAGAATTATAATTCTTTTGTCAGGGTTGGTGAGATGGCTCAGTGGTCTAAAGCATCTACTTAGAACAAGCTTAGCAAAGCACAGGGACCACAGTTCAATCCCCAGCACCTCATGCCAGCCAGCCCCGCCCCCTGGTGGGCTGAGCTGGCCACACACACACACATAAATAAAAATAATAATAATAATAATAATTCTTTTGTCATAGAGCTTTCCTAGATAACTTATTTTTGAAGGACATATATCTTGATTTCAGAACTTACTACAAAACTACATCAGCAAAACAGTGTGGGACTGGCAGAAGGACAGACTTATATTTAGTTCAATGGAAATAGAATTGAGAGCCCAGAAATGAACTCATATTTATGGATGTTTGATTGACAAAGGGTATCAAGACACTTGAGAGGAAGATTTCTTTCCTACAAATGTGATTGTGCAGAGTATTCACATGCAAAAGAATAAGTTCCACAAGACTTATTCAGAATAAGTGACACTTAAATGTAAGACCTAAAACTAAGCTCTGATAGGAGCATTGTATGTCAAGCTGGGTGTGGTGGTCCACATCTGTAATCCCAGTACTTGGGAGGCTGAGCCAGCAGGATTGCCATGAATTCAAGGCCAGCCTGGGTTCTGTAGTGAGTTAAAAGGCCACGTGGACTACATAACAAGATCTTGTCTGAAAAAAAGAAAAAGAAGTACATGCATCTTCATGGTTTTGGGTTAACAAGCAGTCTCGATATATCAGAAGCAGAAGAAAAGAGATTGGACTTCTGCAAAATTAGAAAATTTTGTGCTATATAAAAAGAAAGACTCACAGAATGAGAGATAATATTTGCAAACTGTGTCTGATAAAGGACTTGTACCTAGAACATAAAAAATATTAAACTTATAGAATGATAATCTCCTTAAAAATCAGACTGATCTGAATAGGAATTTCTCCAAAAAGATATAATGGTGTCATTATCATTAGCGATGAGGGAAATTCAAATCCAAACTATATAGTAAAATACTAATTTATATCCATTTGATACTAGAAGAAGAAATGTAATATGTTGGCCAACTTGTGGAAAAATTGGATCCTACATATGTTCCTATTAGAAACTTACAACAATGTAGTCACTGGAAAACAATTTGTGGCTCCTCAAGAAGTTAGACATGGAGCCAGTGATGTAATTCAGACGCACAAGTGCCTGCCTGGCAAGTGCCAGGTCCTGAGTTCAGTTCCCAGTACTAAACAACAAAGGTTAGACATGGAGTTAGCATATAGCTGAACAATTCCTCTCCTAGATAGGTACCCAAGAAATGTTGTGCACATGAAAACTAGTACTTATGCCATGTGTTGTGGCTCACTTCTGTGGACCTAGCACTCTGGGAGGTTTGAGGCAGGAAGATCACAAGTTTGAGCTCAGTGTGGGCAACTTAGTGACTTGGCAAGATCATATCTCAGATTTTAAGAGGACAGGGAGTACAGCTCATTCAGATGTGCTGGGTTTAGTCCCCACTATCTGAGGTGTGGGGGATACACAAATGTTCATGGCAGCACTGTCCATAATTAGCCACAAGGTGGAAACAACCCAAATACCCAGTTGGTTGATGATGGGATTGATGTATGTAGCATATGCACCTGATAAAATACTTGACTCAAAAAAGAATGCTACAAAACAGATGAACCTTGGAAACATGTTAAGTGGAGGAAACCACACACAAAAGCCACATGTGATGATTCCATTTATATGAAATATCCAGAATGGGTAGATCCATAGAGATGGGTAGTATGGTTGCTTGTCTATAGAGAAGAGGCAGAGAAAGATAAAGAGTAATTGCTAATGGCCAGGATTTTGAGGAAGGAGATGAAAGTGTTCTAAGATTAGGAAATACTCATAATTACATACTAGAGTATTATAAACATTACAGTTTGTACTTCTGAGTGGGGAATTGGTTGTTTTGTTTTGTTTTGTTTTGTTTTTGGAACTGGGGATTGAACTCAGAACCTTGCACTTGCCAGGCAAGTGCTTATTCTACTAAGCCATCTCCCCAGCCCCAGGGAGAATTTCATTGCATGTGATTTTTTTTTTTTTTAATGTATTTAGTACAAGGGGCCAGCGAGCTACCTCAGTGGTCTAAAGCTCCTACTTAGGCAGGCACAGGGGACTGCAGTTCAATCCCTGGCACCACATGCCACACGAGCCCCGCCCTTAGGGCAGATTGAGCTGGCCAAAAAAAATTTTTTTTAAAAGTATATGTTTAGTATGAGGTCTACAGAGTCTCACTACACTGTAGGACTCATAGTGATCCTCCTGTTTTCAGCCTCCCAAGCTGAAATTACAGGAACACACCACCACACCCAGTCTCATTCACCATGTCAGCATGCCTTAGGGGTGGAACTGGCATGGCACACCAGGGATTGAACCCTAATCCCTGGGTCTGCCTAAGCGGGTGTTCTAATCCACTGAGCTATCTGGCCAGCCTTTACATATGAATTTTATCTCAGTGAAACTAGTCAAAAAATAGTAAATTATGGTGAGATTGTCAGACAAGCATGAACCTTAAACTTAGAATTTCTGTTGGAAAATAATTTTATCTGCCCATCCATCCCATACTGACAACTGTTATCCTTTCTTGCTAATGTGCAAAGTAACTAAATTACCTGTTCTTTCCAGAAAGGAGAAGATGAATATGCCAGCATTGATGCAATTGTTGTATCAGTGGGTGTTGATGAAGAAATTGTTTATGCCAAATCAACTGCCTTACAGGTGAGAGGTTTATATAATTTTCAGCTCTTAGGATCTACTGCACTGTAGTGGCCACAATAAAACTGAGTTCCTGGGTCTAGTATGCCACTAATTTGCAATGCACATGCTCAGCATTCAGGAGGCGCAAGATGTGATCTATTGCTCCACCAGAAAATTCTCTAAGTCCCACCAGCTATGTTTCAGGTCCTCCATAATGGCTGCCGTTCATATAGAGGATTTCCAGCATCATGTGACCTTCAGTTGAGTTTAGCACTGGCTTAAAAATAGGAAAAAATAAATACATAGTATGTATACATTTAATTACATTTAACAGAGAAATTTAAATATAGTTGGGTGACATAGTATTTCTTTTGTATAGTAGTCAGGAACCCAGGCTTGTCCCATGTCTATTCTGCTGTCCGTGAAATTCATGCATCAGGTACAGAATTTCTTGGACAACTCCCAGTCATTCCAGCTGTGTATTCCATAAACAAAAACATGAGAAAAGGAAGAAAATGACTTGCTTAAAGTGCTGCACAGGCCAGGCATGGTGGCACACACCTGCAATCCTAGCACTTGGGAGGTTGAAGCAGGAGGATCACTGAGTTCAAGGCCAGCCTGGACTACATAGTGAGTCTAAGGTCAGCCTAAACTACATGACCGTGAGACCCACGTCTTGGAAAAAACCAAACCAGTGCTACAGTACCTGTAAACAAACTGTCCAGGGGCTGAGGGTGGATTGGTTGTTTAACATACATAAGGGCCTGGGTACGCCAGCAGCAGACACATAAAAAGAAATACAAGTTGTACACAAGATTTGATGGTTTTTATTACAAATAGTTCAAGCATATAAAAGCAGATTAAGAGCCTGGGGAGATAGCTCAGTAGCATAAGTACTTGTCTAGCAAGCACAAGGTCCTGAGTTCAATACCCGGTACTGCAAAAAAAAGAAAAGAAAAAAAAAGCAGATAAAGTAATTGACTGATAAAATAAGTAATGTACCTATTATTCAACTCTATTGAATTGTCAGTCCCTGACCCAGCTTGTTACATTCATATCCACAGTGACACCACCTCACCCTGGGCTATTCTGAATTTAACTCCAAATATTTATCTACTAATACATTGGTACCTTGGTTAATAAGCTTAAATTTGTTTTGTGATCTTGGGAGAGATGACCATGGTTGTGTTTATTAGCTGACGTGGGATTTACGAATAGAGTCAACAATTTTGTCAAATGCTTATTTTGAGAACCAAATTATTTTCAGACAGAAACATTCATAAACTGAGATATTGTATTTTTATACATGAATAAATTCATTTTTTAATGTGTAAATACTGTTGTTTCTGTTATTTTCTTCCATAGACATGGCTCTTTGGTTATGAACTAACTGATACAATCATGGTCTTCTGTGATGATAAAATCATCTTTATGGCCAGCAAGAAAAAAGTGGAGTTCTTGAAACAGATTGCCAACACTAAGGGCAATGAGAATGCTAATGGAGCCCCTGCCATAACTCTGCTCGTACGAGAAAAGGTTAGAACTGACAAGCAGTGTGTCGTGAGAAAGTTTCAAGGTCACAAATTCAAAAGAATAGTAACTGATTATGGTTGTAATTACAAACTCTGTCATATTTTTGTTGTTGGTTAGAAAAAAGTGTTCTAGGGCTGGGGCATAGCTCAGTGGAATAAGTACTTGCCTGACAAGCGCAAGGTCTTGAGTTCAATCCCTCATACCACCGGAAAAAAATGTAAAATAAAAAAGTGTTCTAAAACCCTGTTAGTTTTACAGCAAACTAAGTAGGCTATGTAATTCCAGTGAATATTGATTTATCTGGCTTTTCTCCAGGGTGCTATTAATGTATTGGCTTCATCTGAGTTCTTTATTCAGAGCAGATAACCTTAAATATCTTCAAGAAAATCTGTTAGGCATGGTAGTGCACACCTGTATTCCCAGCACTTCAGAGATGGAGGCAGGAGGTTCACTGCAAGTTAAGGCCAGCCTAGGTGACATAGTGAGTTCAAGGCCACCTTGGCCTACATAGAGAGACCCTGTCTCCAAAAGAAAGAAAGAAAAGCAAGAAAGATTGATTGATTTATATATGCCAAATAATTGATATTATTTTGAAATGTTTTGTTCATATTCTTGTTTTATAGTGTACATATTCAGTATTAAAAATTTGTAGATACTTCATATTTAGTTTTTATCAAATATGATCTTTTTGTCATACTGCCCACATAAATAGCAAATTTTTTCTCAGAATTTTGTTTGCCTATGTGTTCTTCAGCTTTTCTTAAGAAAATGAATAATCTTATCAATTTACATGGTAGTTTCACTTAAGCATATAAAAATATCTGAAGATATTTTGTGTTAATCTGTATTACAGTCTCTTCTTAAAAAGTAGGTAAGGAAGGACTAGGGCAGAATTTATTATTTCCATGGTGTATAGGATATTCCTTGCTGGTTATTATTAGTTAGAACATAGTTACGTATTTCTAAAACTAACAGACCCTATTCTTCCCTGTGGCACTGATAGAATGAAAGTAATAAGAACAGTTTTGACAAAATGATTGAAGCTATTAAAGAAAGCAAGAATGGCAAGAAGATTGGAGTGTTCAGCAAAGACAAATTCCCTGGAGAGTTCATGAAGAGCTGGAATGACTGCCTCAACAAAGAGGGCTTTGACAAAGTAAGAATACAATTGGAAAGCAGCAGATTAAGCATTGAGAAGACAGAAGCATATAGGTCTCCAGAACAGATCTTGCAGAACATTTGTTTTGGGAAAACCATGTATTTGTTCATATTTTTGTTTTCACCACCCATAGCTAAAAAGTTTCACAGTTTTACTTTTTAGTAAGAAAATAGTATTATGGGCCAGCCAAATAGCTCAGCAGATTAAAGTGCCTGCAAGCAGGGGCCAGGGTTCAGTACCCAGGCCTGCCATGGCAGTCCCCCTCCCCCCTGGAGGCACTGAGACGATTGAGACTGGGTGTGTGTGCATGCCTATAATCCCAGCTCTTGGGAGGCTATAAACAGGTGGATCACTAAGAGTCCTATCTATTAGTGAGACTCTGAACACCCTAAAATACAAGGAAAAAGAAAGAAAATGGAGTTTAAGAAATAGTCCCGGCCCTTCAGTGTTGCAAACTTAGAAAAATCTCTTGTATAGCCAGGAATGATGGCAAGGAAAAGTCTCATGTCCAGGACAAACTTCTGTGCTTTCATTTTCCCTGCCTTCCTACTTACCTTCCTTCAACATTTATAAAAATCTTTGAGAAATAAAATTAGAAAGGAAAATTTACAATTTAAGTGGTGCAGTAGTTTTATGCCTCTTCAAACAGTTACTTTGCAAAAAAGAAAAACTATTTTAAGTTTTTATTCAAGAGACTAATTGGGGATACAGCTCAGCAGTACAAGCACCAGCCTGGCAGGCCCAAGTCCTGAGTTCAGTTCATGATATCAAAAAGAGAGAGACTATTTGAACATCTTACGGACTACTGATGGAATTTGTTAAATAATCAAGTGATAACAGATGTAGAAAGATGTGTTTCTTCCATAGTTTTATATTTGAGTGTGAGAAAATGTGTTGCTGTGATTGCAGATAGATATCAGTGCAGTTGTGGCATATACCATCGCAGTAAAGGAGGACGGGGAGCTCAACCTAATGAAGAAAGCAGCCAGTATCACCTCTGAGGTTTTCAACAAATTCTTCAAGGAAAGAGTCATGGAAATAGTTGATGCAGATGAGGTAACTGGAGAAGGGGGGATCTTTTTAGTGTTACAGTGAAGTAGTAATAAGTGCCTACTTGGCAAGTTTCTTGTTGTGTGTTCAGCTGTTTTTTTTTGTTTTTGTTTTTGTTTTAATTTTTTTTTTAAAGTTTTGCTTTTTTTTTTTTTATATTTATTTATTTATTTATTTATTGTGTGGCCAGCTCAGCCCACCAGGGGGCGGGCGGGCATGTGGTGCTGGGGGATTGAACCGAGGTCTCTGTGCTTTGCTTGAGCTTGACTTGTTCTAAGTAGGTGCTTTAGACCACTGAGCCATCTCACCAGCCCCTGTTCAGCTGTTTTTAAGGCTAATGTTTATGAATAAGTTGGTGATAATTGTGCCATCTTTCAAAACAACACTGGGTTTTGAGATTACCCATTATTTTACTTAAGGATCATTGGAATAACTGTCAATTCCCCATAGTTTTCCAAATTTTCTTTGTATGTATTAGTACGTAAATCATAAGTTATATTAGGACATATCTTCAAGAAATGTCCAAATACCTCACATCCCTGTGTCTCATCCTGTAGTAAGTGTCATTTTGCTTCTGGCTGCTCTTATAGAAAGTTCGACATAGTAAGCTGGCTGAGTCTGTGGAAAAGGCCATTGAAGAGAAAAAATACCTGGCTGGAGCAGATCCTTCTACTGTGGAAATGTGTTACCCTCCAATCATTCAGAGTGGTGGCAACTATAATCTCAAGTTTAGTGTGGTGAGGTAAGTATGAGAACTATTTCATAAAGTAACCATAAAAACTCAAGAATATTTTTTTGTTTGATTGTTTGGTGGTACCAAGGATTGAACTCAGGACCTTGTACTTGCCAGGCAAGCACTTATTCCACTAAGCTATCTCCCCGGCCAAGAATATTCTAAGTATTGTAGCTTTTAGCCTTTTTTAAAAAAACTTATCTTGAGTGGTCTGCCAGCTATATCTGTTACTGTTATTTTTTTGCACTGAGATTAAACCTAGGAACTCCCACATGGTAAGACAAATGTTCTACTAAGCACTTCCAGCCCTTTGTTTTGTTTAGTTTTTGACAGTGTCTTACTATGTGGTCAAGCCTGGCCTTGGACTTATTATGTAGCCTAGACTAGATTCAAAACTCACAATCTTCCTGTCTCATCCTCCCAGATATTCAGATTATATGCGTGTACTGCCATGCCTGACTTTCTGTTTTGCACAAAGGGTCATGCTAGGTTGCCTGGGCTCGTCTCAAACTCCCTATCCTTCTGCTCAGTTATCAGATAGCTGGGATTACAGGTGTCTGTCACCATGCCAGCATTATTTCTTATCATTTGATTGTAAACATTTTTCCAAATTATTAAAAATACTGAAAAATGCAAAGTATTCTGAAAGCAATTAAAATGGTATTAGATTTCTAAAAGGAAATACTTCAAATTTTAGCAAGTGCTGTAAAGAATGTCATTTGAAAAAAATTTGAGTGAATGTTGGGAATTCAGATACAGTGCTTCAGAATTCTAATTTTTATTTGAAAACTTAAATTTTATTGTTGTCAGATAATTCTGGTAGTCATTTTTGTGGACAGGCTTACTTTTTAAGAAAATGTCTTCCAAAAACCCAAATCCAGATAACCAGAGATTGTCTTTCAGATATGCTTTCAAATAAAAATGTTCCATGAAAAAATGAATAAATAAGAATGTGATTTGCTCTAGTGATTCTGAAGAGACTAATTACAAACCCACAATTGATAAAGGCTTGTGGACAAGTAACTTCCAGCTAGACTGTTAGCCCAGAATGGGTATAACTTAAATCCTTCCATTTTTAGAACACAACAGTACTTATTATTTCCCTGAATTTTTATCCCAATAGTTTAATCAGATTTTTACTCCAGTTCCTAATACAGTTATTTTTTTAAAAAGTTTAAGTCAGTATTCAGACACAGCTTGGGGTAAAACACTAATTGCAGGTCTTCTGTGCCAATGGTACCAAGAACTTGTTAGTTTTGATAATGTAATGCTTTCTTCTTTTGTCTCTAGTGACAAGAATCATATGCATTTTGGGGCCATCACTTGTGCCATGGGTATTCGCTTCAAATCTTACTGTTCCAATCTTGTTCGCACGTTGATGGTTGACCCTTCTCAGGAAGTTCAAGAAAATTACAACTTCTTGCTCCAGCTTCAAGAGGAGCTGCTAAAGCAATTAAGACATGGTGAGGTGCCTTAGAAAAGAAAGTTCAGAAATCACATAACAAAAGTACCATTAGTGTTAATGTAAGTTTATATCCCTGAGACTTTCATACTAAAAGTGGAGTAAGAGTCTGCTTACCTTGAATTGTACTAGGATATAAATATTAGATCTACTTTTCTTTTAGATATGAGTGGTCATTGTGGTTTACATTGGTGTTTACAGAAGTCTCTGATTTGTTGTTAGAGCTTTGTGTTATATATTCATAAAACATCTTTTTTTTTTTCATAAAACATCCTGACTTTGGTATTCTTCATTTTATAAAGGTCTGAGAACTAGGAGCTCTGCCAACAGAACATGTTGCACTAATCCTACATTAAATGGATACCAAAGATACCAAAAATCTTAGCCTAAGCATAGAATATTAGCAACCTTCTTAAGTAAGAAACTACCTTAAAAGAAACCAAGGAACTTGACTCCACTTTTGTTTGGACTCCACATTCCCAGCTGGCTCAGTGAAATTTTGTTTTAAACCATTTCATAAACCCACCCAACACCTGGGCAGAACTTTCTAACTCCATTCTTCCATGATATCTTTGAACTGGTCTCAAGAATTCCTGTTGAAAGTCACAGACATAGGTAGAGCATAAAGTTCCCTTTGAGGCCTCAATATCTGGTGTCCTCTGACTTGACATGTCATTCCTAGACTAGATCCTGGAAAATTAGGGCTAATGTTCTAATAATAGTTCATACATTTAGTACTGACTGAAGTGGGCCTACTACAAAGGTCTGATTTTCAAAATACATAACAACTTTAATGTAATGTAATCCTATTTGTCATCCTTTGAAGTGTTTCACTTAATTCACAGTGCTCCTGGATCAGTGATTCCTCAGATAAGTGATAATGACTGGGCAGACCATATTTGAAAGTGTAAATTTCTAGTCCCTGTCATCCCTGATGTCGCATTCTTTAGTTCACAAAGAAACACTGCTTTAGGGGATTTAATAGATTTTTTTTAAAAAGGCTGGGCATAGTGATTTACACCTGTAATCTTAACACTTGGTTGGCTGAGGCAGGACGAATGCTGAAAGTTGGAGGCCAGCCTGGGCTACATAGCAAGTTGAAGGCCAGCCTGGACTGCATAGTGAGACCTTGTCTCAAAAAAAAAAAAAAAAAGAAAGAAAAGAAAACTTTTTGTTTCAAATGTAGCTTCTGAAGAATATTTTATAATTGTCTCCTTTCTGTCTTGTTACTAGGTGTGAAGATCTGTGATGTATATAATGCTATCATGGATGTCGTTAAAAAGCAGAAGCCAGAGCTGCTGAACAAAATTACCAAAAATCTAGGGTACGTTTTAGTGTATATTGTCACTCAGTGAGCTTTTATGATTGGCAAAAATTCACTGATTTTTTGGGGCTGGGGAGATGGCTCAGTAGAATAAGCGCTTCCTTGGCAAGCGCAAGGGCCTGAGTTCAATCCCCAGTTCCGCCAAAAAAAAAAAAAATTCACTGATTTTTTTGGCCATATTTATGGAGTAGCAAACTTAACTATGCCAAGCCTGTGGTTTTATCAGAGAAAATGGGAAAAATTTTGTTCTCCCAGGTATATGGGTAGAAATTTTATTAGCCAGTATGTTATAGCCAGTAACTATTCCATAGTCAAATTAGCTCATATTTGCATATTACATACCTGAGATGTATTAATACATTTTTAAAATTTTATTGAGAAACAAATATCAAAGAGACAATTACAAAGCTGGTTAATAGGACAGTTTCAATAATTAATACATTGTACATTGTTATCATCTTAGTGGTTATCCATAGTACAAGATGCAGACAGGATATCCTGTCCAAACATTATTAGTACAAATCTTTCTTCTCATTGAATAAAGCCAAAGTAGCTGTATGTCTTATCCTAACTATTTTGCATATACAGGTGCAAAATGGCCCTTCTGTTGTATCCCCTATTTTTTTCTTTTTTTTCTTTTCTTTTTTTTAAACATACATTTATTTATTTATTTATTTATTTATTTATTTATTTATTGTGTGTGTGCAGCCAGCTCAGCCCACCAGGGGGCGGGGCTGGCTGGCATGTGGTGCTGGGGGATCGAACTGCAGTCCCTGTGCTTTGCCGAGCTTGTTCCAAGTAGGTGCTTTAGACCACTGAGCCATCTTGCCAGCCCCCCCTATTTTTTTTCTTTAGTCTGTCAGAAATGGGTATTCCTTTGGCATCTAAATACTATAGGTGGGGCTAAGGAGATAGCTCAGTGGAATAAGTGCTTGGCTGGCAAGCGCCTGAGTTCAATCCCCAGTTCCGCAAAAAAAATAAAAAATAGAAATAAATAAATAAATAAATAAATACTATAGGTGCGTAAATTCAGCAAAACAATCCAACACCGTCCAGCAGTTCACAATACTAGTGGGTTATCCACAAAAGTTGTTGACTTGAGCCTTTCACAGCTGAGCATATTAATATGGCTTTACTTTTTTTTTACCTCGTTTTTATACTTTTTCTGCAGAATGGTTAAGACCAAGATAAAGCAAGACCTATATAACAAGAAATGTAACTTTTGTATCTGATAAAGTCACTCAAGTCCCTTCAGGATTTATCCTGAGGCCCTGTACCGCAGGTTACAGATCCTTTGTCAGTGTCAGCCATGTGGATGAGTCATTGCTTAAGTCAATTGCTTAACCAGTTTGCTCTCTGTGAAAGCCTGAGAGAATGTTTTCTCTCCAGATGACTCTCCTTAGGTACACTCTACATCATGAATCATTGCTCTGTGGCCCCATAATCTCCTTGATCAGAAAATTTGGAAGGGACCAGGGAGATGGTTCAGTGGAATAAGCGCTTCCCTGGCAAGCGCAAGGGTCTGAGTTCAATCCCTGGTTCTGCCAAAAAAAAAAAAAATTGGGACGCAATTGAGTTACCTAATGTTACAGTATAGGTTATATATATAAAACTGTTGACCACTCCTAGTTACATTGTTTTTCCCTTCTCTTTGGACCATGATAAGCGCTTGAGTTGTGACTTCAGAGCTGGGTAACTTTGAAATTAAAGTAAAGAGACCACATGAAAAGGTCATTTGCACGTGTATTATAAGAAGGTGTTCCATAGGTATGTTACAGGCTTACTTTAACCCATTTGACTTAATGCTCCAAAGTAACTGTAATTTAATGGTAATAGTATAGCAAATTATGATGAATAGCTTTACGTGTATGTTAAAAAAGTCGTATGTTCACATGCTTATTCTGGGTATCAGAATTTAAGCAATTGGGGGCTGGAGAGATGGCTCAGTGGTCTAAGGCACCTACTTAGAACAAGCTTGGCAAAGCATCAGGGACCGCAGTTCAATCCCCCAGCACCACATGCCAGCCAGCCCCGCCCCCTGGTGGGCTGAGCTGGCCACACACACACACACCACTCTCTCTCTCTCTCTCTCTCTCTCTCTCCCTCCCTCTCTAATAAATAAAATTAAAAAAAAATTTAAAAAAAAAAATTTAAGCAATTGTTAAAATGTATGAATGTCTTAATATACTGATTACAAAGCAAAAAAAAAAAAAAAAGAAAGTAGGACTGGAAATCCCATTCAAGCCAGCTATTCTCCTACTGGGAATTTTCCCGGAGGAACTGAAAACGTCATTATCATAGTGATATATGTGTACCTACGTTTATAGCAGCACAACTTGTGATAGCTAAATCTTGGAAACAAAAAGATGCCTGTCACATGAGGAATGGTTGAAAAAGATGTGGTATTTTATACAATGGAGTATTACTCAGCTATAAAGAATGACAAACTCGAAGCCTTCATATTTAAGAGGATGCTACTTGAGGACATAAGCAAAATAAACCAGACCCACATGTATAAATATCATAGTCTCCCAAGTATAGGAACTCAAAAGAAGAAATACCAATAGGTATAACACAATTAAAAGGAAAACGAGAACTTGAGGATTGGACAATGAGAGGGCAAGAAGAAAAGCTGGGAAACAGGACAGGGACAAAGCCATACATTTATACGCACAAGATGGGCAAGGCAATGACCCTGAGAAGTATCAGCAGGTTTTTGAAACTAGCAGTTAATTGGTAGGATTCTCACCCTGACTAAGCTATATATAGTGATACCTGTGAACCAAGCAACTACACTACAACAGCAATGTGTAATAGAAGGGTCATGCTTGGAATGCCTGTCATTCTGGTCTTCTAAATATGTACTTTTTGGGCTGGGGAGATAGCTCAGTAGAATAAGCGCCTGCTTGGCAAGCACAAGGTTGTGAGTTCAATCCCCAGTACCACCAAAAAAATAAAAAATAAAATAAAAAATAAGTCGTTTCCTTCACCATTTTCTACAGGCGGTGAGCGGGCTAGGCCGCGGTCAGGTAGACAGGAAGGAGCGGGTAGCCGTGTGCAGGTTGAGCAGCAGCCGCTCCTCCACCTCTCAGCACGTTCTGGAAAGTTCCCCCAGTCCTACTTTCTTAAGGAGTCTCCACACTGATTTCCATAACGGTTGCACCACTCTACATCCCACCAGGAGTGGTGAAGGGTTCCCTTTTCCCGACAGCCTCTCCAACATTTGTTGTTGGTTGATTTCTTTATGATAGCCAATCTTTCTGGGGTGAGATGGTAGCTCAGTGTTGTTTTAATTTGCATTTCACAGATGGCTAGTGGTATGGAGCATTTTTTCATATATTTGTTCGCTTCTTTGATTTCGTCCTATGATATATTTGTTCGCTTCTTTGATTTCATCCTATGATCCAGATGCCCATTTCTGGATTGGATCTTTAAATTTAGGGGCCCGAATGTTTTTTATTTATTTATTTTTTATTTATTTATTTATTTATTTTTATTTATTTTTTTTTTTGTGGAACCGTGGCTTGAACTCAGGTCCTTGTGCTTGCCAGGGAAGCGCTTATTCCACTGAGCCATCTCCCCGGTGTAACTTTTATTTATTTATTTATTTATTTTTGCCTAATGTTTTTTAGTTCTTTACGAATTCTAGAGAGCAGACCTTTGAATGCTTATTAGTTAAGATTTTTTTCCAAATTTGTGGGTTGTCTTTTCACTTTGTTGGTAATTTCTTTTGATATGCAAAAACTTCTCAATAAGCATTGGTCTCAGTTGTTAATTCTTTCAAGTGTTACCCCTGCAATTTGATTTTTGTTCATGAACTCTTTGCCTACCCCTATGTCTTTAAGAGTGCCTCCTACTTTCTCTTCCAGGAGATTTAGTGTTTCTGTTTTAATTTTTAGATCTTTAATCCATTTTGACTTTAGTTTACTGCATGGTACACCTGGGTGAAGTTTTAGTTTTCGGCATGTAGAGAGCCAGTTTTTCCAGCACTATTTGTTAAAGAGGCTATCTTTCTTCCAGTGTGTTTGGGCCCTTTGTCGAAGGGGCCTTCGTGTTCGTAGAGGTCTCTGCATCTTCTAATCTATTCCATTGATCCTCAAGTGTATTTTGTTGCCAGGACCATGCTCATTTTATCACAGTAGCTTCGTAGTATAATTTTAGGTCAGGAATTGTAATGCCTCCTGCCTTGTCTTTATTGCCCAGGATTGCCTTTGCTATTCTAGGTCTTTTCTGGTTCCACATAAATTTTAGGAGCGATTTCTCTAGGTCTGGGAGGTGTGTTGGTGGTAGTTATATAGGCATTGCATTAAATCGGTACAACAATTTTGGGAGTATGGCCATCTTCACGATGTTGGTTCTTCCTGTCCAGGAGCAGGGAATATCTTTCCATTTTCTGAAATCTTCTACGATCTCTTTTTTAGAGTACTGTAATTTTCCTTGAAAAGATCTTTGACTTCTTTAGTTAGATGAATTCAAAGGATTTCATTTTCCGCGGTGCTATTGTAAAAGGTATTGTTTCTCTAATTTCCCTCTCAGTGTATTTGTTATCTGTGTAGAGAAATGCTATTGACTTTTGGGTGCTGACTTTGTATCCTGCTCTGCTACTGAATTTGTGTATCAATTCTAGTAACTTCTTGGTGGAGTTTTTTGGGTCTTCCAAGTAAAGTATCATGTCATCTGAAAATAATGATAATTTAACTTCTTTACCTATTCTTATTCCTTTTATTTCTCCCTCTTGTCTAATGACTCTAGCTAATGATTCCCAAACTATATTGAATAGGAGTGGTGATAGAGGACATCCTTGTGTTGTACAACATCTGAGAGTAAAAGATTTCAGTTTTTCCCCTTTTAGAATTATGTTAGCCGTTGGGTTGTCATAGATCACTTTTATCAAATTGAAGTGGAGGCCTTCTAGTCCAGTGTTCTGTAGGACTTCGAACATGAATGAGTGTTGGACTTTTCAAAATCCTTTTCTGCATCAAGATGATCATGTGGTTTTT